CCCCAAAACCCCAAAACCCCAAAACCCCAAATTTTATTTTAAATTGAATTGAATAAAATGATCGAAGAAGGTAAATATAGCCTTTAAATTCTAGCAGACAGTCTACAGCCTGGGATAGAAGGAGAGGGAGCCCTCCTGTTGGCCACTGAGATGGTAGATAAACTTTCCAAGAATATAGATAATCATATTTACTCAGAATTTATTGAGAGACAAAAGAGACCTTTCTCAGTGGAATCTCTCATTCAACTTTGACATCACGGGATCAAGAGCTGAGTTATTCACTACGATTCGCTTGTTCCCCCTCCAGAGGTAGACCTTGAGGAGCAAGACGATGAGCCTGAAGTCCCAATAAAGGACAGATGGTGTACAGATTATGTCAATGTCGAGAAGGTCCAAAAATTATACTTCGACCCTTCAGAAACAATCGACGAAGCGGATGCTAAATCAGTCAGATCATATCGGTCCTTTGCCAGGTCGCATTCTTCCGTGTTTACCAAGACTAAGAGGACCTTCATGAAGGTGAAATCAAAGCAGAGCTCTAAAATTGTCAAGCTAAAAATTACCCAAAAAGAAATCCCAGAAGATGAAGTAAGACTTCGTGAAAGAAAGGAAAAACAAATTCTCCACAGGAAGAAGGAAGCAGCAGAAAAATAAAAGGCTCAAAGAAGAGGAAAGACAGGATAAAATGAAAAAAAGATTTGCACTTGGTGGTGACCCTAAGGCAAGCCTCACATGTGACCATAATGGCAAGCCCATTGTGGTAAAGAAGCTAAATGCGAATAAACTCAGAAAAGCTGAAGGTCCTGGTTACTCCTTTGAAGCGGTTAATCGGGATCAGATCAAGGCGATGAAGAGGAAACAACAAAAGAAATTTGAAATTTATTCAAAAGAACTCTTTCCAGCTAGTATAAACTCTAAATAGTATTGTTGATGACCTAAATCTGAGTGCTGAGGATTTTATCGATGAGTCTCAATGTTCAGCAACATTTGGAGACCTCTCTTCTGTTTTGGCCTTAATGCCAGGAGTTCAGTATAATACAAGAGATAAGACCTTGAGAGGACCTCTATATAGACGTGAAAATAAAATGGCTATCCAAGATTATAAGGTAATTTCAAATTCAAGAGGTAAAGTCAAAATTGACCTGTAGAAAATGCCAAAATCAGATACGACATCCATGAAGGCTCTCCTGTAGTGAAACCAAAAGAAGAGAAAACTCTAACTTCTGAGGTTAAACATGACTCCATTGCTAATATGGGGTCTGTGATTAAAAAGAAGCGTCATGGGCATGAAAGGATGAAAGGTGATGCGACCAAATCAGGAATTTTACAAGAGGGTCATCACCTACACAATATATCCTCCAAACACTTTGGAAGTGGAGTAATCTCAATTTTTATATCTTTAGAGCCTAAGCCAAAGCCGTAGGATTAACGAAGGCGCATTCACAGGGAGAAAGAATAATGATTATTTCACACGTGAGCAAGGAATGAGGCCAACTACAGCCAAAAAGCACTATAATGTACAGTCTCTTCTTAATTATTAGAATATACTAAAGAGAATGTCAGGAAGGAGATCTGCTAAGGAGACTGGGAACAGGTTCTTAATCAAGCAAAAAGTGTTCGAAGATGGTAAAATTTCCGTCTAAATTTAGTTACTAACTTCTCAATGAAATCCAACACCATGCAGAGGAGGAACAATTCAAAGAATCTGAGGGTGTCTGCTTTTAATAAATTCAACCATGATCTCGTACAAGGGAAGGTTAGCAGTAAGGTTTGACTCTAAACCAGTAGATGTGACTTCCGGGTCCCAAGCCCGTTTAAATTCCGCAGCATATAATACACGTCCAATGAGACAGAAAGGTAATGATATCTGATGACTTGTAGACCTCATCCAAGAAGGAATGTCTTCTCTTTCATCTCAGAGGGGCAAACTTAAATCAGCAAGCAGGCTTAATAGGATCTCCAGGGCTATCAAGACAAGTATGAGAGAGAATAGAGGCAAAATAATGGTTAAAGAGAAGTTATAATTCAACTATCAGCTTGCTTATTGGGGTTTTGGGGTTTTGGGGTTTTGGGGTTTTGGGG